GACGACACACACACACACACACACACACACACACACACACACACACCGCTTTCCACCCCCATTGTTCCTCAGCCACAGGGGAAGAGATCACTGTTTGGGAAGCTGCTCCCCCATCTGCCCAACCCCACACATTTGGACCCCCCAGACCCAGACCCCCCTGCATCCATAAGCCCCAAACCCATAACTTCCCCCACTGAGCCCCAACGCCCTGCATCTGGACTCCTATCCCTCACTCAGACCACCCCCCACTGAACCCTTCACACTCAAATCTCCACCCTGACAAGTTCCCCCCCCACCCCCGAGTCCCTACCAGCTGCACCTGGACCCCCACCCTACAAAGCCCCAGTCCCCCAGCACCCAACTCCCCCCACTGAGCCCCACACACCCAGACCCCCCCCTGCTGAGCCCCAACCACCTTCACTTGAAGCTCCCTGCAAAAGTTCCATGGCCCTGTACCCAGAAGCCCCCAACAAGCTCCTGTTCATCCAGAACTCCCTGCATCTGGACCCCCACTGAGCCACCCACACCCAGATTGCTGCACACAGATCCCCTCTCACCTCACATCTGGATCCTCCACACTAAGCCCCTCCACACTTAGATCCTGCTGGGCTGAGCCTGCCTGCCCACACCTCCTGCACCTGCCATGGAGGGGCACGGCCTGGGGGGTTTCTGGGGCAGGCCCAGCCCTTGTGCTGTGTCAGGGTCAGGTGCAGCCTCATTGCTGGGTCTGTGTCCCGGGGGCGGGGGGGGGTGGAGGGGGGCTGCAGGATGATCTATCTCCGTGCAGCCAGTGGCCTATGCTCCCCACTGTCATGCTAGAGCCGCCACATTTGTTTATTGACCAATAAAAATTTGCAGAATTTTAAAATATTGTGGGGAAAATTTTTATTTCCCTCAGGAATAAAAATAGAAGCTTAGAATATAAATGCTGCGATGCAGCAATGTGTTCTAACCCATAGCTAAGTGATGTGTGGTAGATACCCTATAGCTGGTATTTGGATATACAATAGCCTCTTGACTATTTCCATATTATATCTTAGGAGAATCAATATAAACAGCTTAAAAAATTAAATGCATCTCTTAAAACAACTGTTGAGAGTACAGACTTTCTATTATTGTATCATGAAAAGCAAGCTCAAATATCTATGAATACTTAGGTTACTTTCCAATGCACTGTATGCTTAATCCTGTTTTTTACCTTATGGTAACAGTCATTGATCTTTCTTACTACAATATTTTTACCTTTCTTAGAATTTCATCCAGTAGAGACATGTTTGCCTCTTGGGCTTTAATAGTGTGAGAGAAGAATGCATAATTCTTCTTAGGAATTAATTTATCCTCTGGAGGTCTCTTCACTCCCACAATTAGCGATGCCTCAGAAATATCTTCTTGAATAATGCCACCTGCTTTTATATATTCCTGTAAACAGAGCATTAAGAAACTTTTATTCTTTGATATTAATGACAAAAAAAAAAAAAAAAAAAAGCCATCTTAAAAGAACTTATGAAGCAGAAAGATACAGAAACAAGTTAAGGCCTGTTACTAAACAAACTTATTTAAGAGTTTAAGAGCTTGGATTTGTATTAGGGCTGCGGTCAAGCAATTAAACAAATTAATCTTGATTAAGCGTGCTGTTAAACAATAGAATACCACACACCACATAGAAGGATTATTTCATTGGGATAGCATAGGATTGAACCTGGGGCAGAATTCAGCCCATCTTATTACTAGTAATAAATAGGTTGTAGAAGTTTTCATTCCTTCAAAAGTGGGTAAAGCATCTCAATCCCCATTCTAAGATGGAGCAACTAAGACACAGAAATTGGGTGGTTTGTTCATGGTCATACAGTGGGTTACAAAAGCTAGGGCTTCTGCTCCTACCTCTGTGCCTTACCCACTCAACCATACTATCATGCTGCTTGGACTGAGGTTGATGGCAAGACTCCCACTGACTTCAAAATGACAGCAGGACCAGGCTGAATATTAGCATAGCAAAAAAAATCAATAGACTTACACAAAGTAAGTTATCTTTGGTGTAAATGTGGCTGTTACTTAAAAACACCCGGTTAAAGTACAAATCCTTGAAGCCTGGACAGTAGGTTGTATTTTGTTTTTTTTTTCGCCTTCAACTATATTCCTCCCACTCTCAGACCCTGACTCGATAAGTAAAAAGGGTATGTGTCACAATTGCTTTAGCTTAATACAAATGTCTCATTAAGAGTCAGTCTAGCGTGACTACAATACGGCCAGCTAGCAAAGCTTCAAACATGGTGGCCTGCATCTTAACAGGGCTTTGCAATCATTTCAACTTAACTCAGATGAATTAACAGGATTGGGGGAAAAGCCACACCTTTTCTCTGTCACAATTACACATAACATCAGCGGAAATATGCTGCCTGAATTCAGGCAGCAAGGAAAAAGACAAAAACAGTTACATAGGACATCAGGAATTACATAAAACCCCCAAAGTTCCTATGCAAAGAATTATTGAGAATTTAGACAATAGAAGGCAGGGAGGCTGGGGGAGGGCAGGACAGACCTAAAAAACAAAGAACAATGAATAGGTATCAATATTGCCTTACAGATCTAGCCAATGATTCCCATTGCTTTAGTCAGTGGGAAAGAATGACCCCCTTTTGTAATACATAACAGAGTAGCTAATAACATATGTTCGCTATTATGTACAGCCTTTAGATCCTTTAATGCTGTAATACCATAATTAAATAAACCAATGTTACATTTTGTTCACCTAAATAGGAACCACAGCAGAACTTACCTTTTCATGGATGGCTCTCCGGTTTGATGGTTGTACTAAGACTTTGTATCCCAGATTTGTTAGCTCTTTAACATGCTTTGGTGCTAGAGGTGCTCTTCTTTCCCAAACACTAACATCTTCCCTCCTGATTGCCAGTACAGGTTTATGATGGTGATGGCACTTTAAAAGGTGGACCCCAAACTTGCCAGTTGTGTCTCTGAATGTTCGTAGCATGATAAAACCTGATGGCAGCAAAGACAAAGTAGTTAAACGATACCATGCTTGCAAAGATGCTTAGAAGCCATTATGTTTGTGCAAAACGTTTGGGTCTCTTTAGAAATCTGTTGTAAAACATACTCAACTACTAATCACCACAATGATCATAACACCAGCAATAATTATCACAATTTTCTGATTAATAGTACTAATATTCCCAGATGTCCTGTGCAAGAGAAACCTGAATTTACTTTCATTACCAAATGTAAGTTCTCTAATGTAAACCACAACTGAAACAGTAAGAGAACATTACAAAGTCTTGTTTTCTCTTCGCTTTGGCTGGGTTACTTCACAAAATCAAACCACCAGTATTGCTGTATCAAAAAGTTTTTACTCATGTGCAAGGTATATTGTTTTTAATTCCAGTTACTGTACTTGTGATCCGTGCTGGAGGCTTAAGCAAAAATGCCAATTAGACTGAGTCACCAGTATGACTATGCAAGAGTCAAAAAATGTATCAATATCCCACCCTATAAATCTTATAAGTATCTTTCTTATCACTTGGTGTAGTGATAACAAAAGAGACTAACTCATAAAAAAGCAATAAAGTACAGTTAAAGGTGCTACATGACCAAGGACAAATGGCCTTGGGCCAGCTCTTTAAAGATATTTACATAAGCATGCCTAGGCACCCAACCCCTATTTAAATTTAAATCAACTTAAGTTAGGTGCTTAGGCACTTTTGAAAACCCCACTAAGGTTCAGATCCTCAAAAGGTACTTAGATGCTTGGATACCTTTGAGGATCCGGGTCTAGATGCCTATCTGCATTTAAACATCTTTTGAAAATCTAGCTCTTAGACCCCAGTTTTGCAAAGACCTATGCACATATTTAAGCAAACAAAGGCCCTTTAAACTCAGTGGGACTGCTCATGGACTTCAAGTTAGGAGTGTCTGTAAATCTTCTGTAAACCCTCTGCCATGTACATTGGCCAAACCGGACAGTCTGTACGCAAAAGAATTAATGGAAACAAATCTGACATCAGGAATCAGAATACTCAAAAACCAGTGGAAGAACACTTTAACCTGTCTGGCCATTCAATGACAGACCTGCGGGTGGCTATCTTACAACAGAAAAACTTCAAAAACAGACTCCGAGAGACTGCTGAGCTGGAATTGATATGCAAACTAGATACAATCAACTCAGGATTGAATAAGGACTGGGAATGGCTGAGCCATTACAAACATTGAATCTCTCTCCCTTTGTAAGTGTTCTCACTTCTTATCAAACTGTCTGTACTGGGCTAGCTTGATTATCACTTCAAAAAAAAATTCTCTTACTTAATTGGCCTCTCAGAGTTGGTAAGACAACTCCCACCTGTTCATGCTCTCTGTATGTGTGTA